TCCCAGTAAGTGTCACCACATCAGAGGTAGTTAGGCCATGTCAGTAGAAAGCTGACAAAAGAAAGATCATACTTTAGTTTGGACAAATAAAGCAACTGAGAATCTTTGCTTCCATGTCTGGGGGGAGGGGAAAATGTTTGTTTTGGGGATGAAGGCCCCACGGTCCGTGGGGGTTGTTATCAGGTGCCCTGACATCAGTCACGAGCACAGAACGGAGCACCTGCTTGGCGGTCCCACCAGCACTGCTGCTCTGAGCCCCCGCTGCAGCCACGGGGCCACCCACCCCGGGGGAGGCCTCCCGTCCTGGGCTGACCATCTGCTGTGCCACGCACGACGTCCCTGTCGGGGATTCTCCCCCTGGAAGGACGTGAGAACGTGTCCCACCATCCTCTCGCCGAAGGAGCACCGTGACGGCATTCTGAGTGTGTATTAAAGCTTTTGCCAGTCATCATCCAAACCACATATTAAATTTACTACAGCAATTCCATTTTTTTCTGAGGATATAATTTCTAAAGAAAAGCTTTATTATGTTTTGAGTGTTTGTGTTTACACCTTCAGTCTATGGTCTCATTATGGTCCCATTCAGAAATTTCCTGGGGCCCTGCCACCATTGTGTCTGGAGCGAGGTGCCCCCAAGTCCCCAGTGCTCCCCGTTCTACTGTGGGGGGGAGACTCCATGTCCTGAGGGATGAGCAGGGCTTCCATCTGGAATTGGGCCCTTCGGGGACCCTGATATTCTCAGGACCCACAAAGTGTGCTGTCCCCACAAAGGTGATGATGTCTTGTTAGAGAATTGGACAGAAACAGACATCTTTTTCAGTTGATCCAGGAATAAGGATTTTTTATTGAAATATTGACGTGTGGATGGGATTAACTCCGCTGTGTAGTGGTTTGTTAATCACTGTCAATGACTGTCTCATCAGGAGGAACAGGGCATTCGGAGACCACTGGGCACCAAATCAGGAGCGAGGAGCGAACCACACACTGTGCACACGGACAGGTGTGAATTCTAAGACATGATGAGACGCCCAGCTCCACCCAGATGCCAAATGTGAGAAACATACACACACAGAGGCACGTGCACACACACACACACACACACAGAGGCACGTGCACGCTGGCACACACAGGTACAAGCACACATGCACTGACCTATGTGTGCGCACACACCTGCATGCTCACATACACGTGCACACACGATACCCCAGCCAGCCGCTCTGCGGGGACAGCTACCAACCACGTTGCACACTATCGGCAGGCAAGCCTGCCTCATCACGCCCACTGAGCACGAGCCGGGCAGCCCGCTGGTGTAGAGCGGCCTCAACCCCTTTTTGAAAAAAGCTTCAGCTGCAGTGAGGGCTGCCCTCACACAGGAACAGGGGGACCCCAGGCGTCCCATCGCTTCCAGTGGAATGGAGAGTGAAGGGAGGAGGTCCCCACTGCTTTGCATGTCCTGGGGGTTCTCAGCTGACGATGGGGTGCCCCCTTGTTGGCCCCCTACTCAGCTGCACCCTCTCCTCCTGTGAACAGGTCCCTCAATGGGGACACCTCATCCAGACACCCTTTCAATGTCACCAGCCCCCAAACCAGCGCCACGCCCATCAGGCCAAGTCCCAGCGGCCCTGTCAGATGGGGAGGGCCGTCAGAAGGCGGAGGCTGGGGCTCACAGGAGCTCACTGCCTCTCTCCTCTCACGAAGGGAGCAGCTGGAGGGTTTGAACCACTGAGCTTTTAGGGAGCATCGGGCGCTCCTGCATGCGTATCAAAGCACTGCTGAGTTGACTGAGGCTCACAGGCAACAGAGAGATGCCCTACAGGGTGTCCAAACTGTAATGGGGACGGATTGCTGTCCTGTTGTCTATCATCTTGGGGACCAGCTCCTGGCTGACCCTCTGTGCGTTTCCAAGGCTAAACCCTTCAGGACGTAGAGGGTCCCATCTTTCTGAGGCCAGACTCCCAGCTTTTCTGTTGATAGCCTACCCTCTACTGCACTGCACCCCAGAGTCCACCCTTTAGCACACTGCACCCCCAAAGTCCACCCTCTAGAGCACTGAACCCCCAGAGTCCATCCTCTAGTGCACTGCATCCCCAAAGCACACCATCTAGTACACTGCACCCCCAGAGTTCACCTTCTGGCACACTGCACCCCTAGAGTCCACCTTCTAACTCACTGCACCCCCAGAGCTCCTCCTGGGTCACAGGGAACGGGGACCTCAGAACCGGATGCTGACATGTGTCTGAATGCTGTCAGCGGCCGTCCTCCTACTAACCCCCCACCAATCTTCACATCCAATGGCGGTTTTCCCAGTTTCAAGACTGCTGTCTTCTGGAACAAGCAAGGCTTGGCTCCGAGGGCTGGAATTGCAATGCCCAAGCCTGGGCCTGGGGCCCCTCACATGCCAGTGCTGCCACCCGGCCACTGTGACATCGTACAAACAATTCCATCCAAAAAAAAAGTTTACTAAAAATAGAAGAAATATAGGAAATACAATGAACCTTAAAAAGAAACCATTATGTCAACATCCAACCTGGAAAGGAAATTGCAAATGTCCCGCCATGGCCCAAGTCCTGCAGGAGTTTAGCAACCTCGGGCCGCAGGGGACGGTGAGGGGTCCTCGGGGCGAGGCGGCCTGTCCAGGGGCACAGGGGCTGTGTGCACACAGGGGCCTTTGGACAGCGTCCGGGGTTTTTGGTTTCCAGTGTTCCCTCCCCCACACTCAGGAGGGGGAAAGGTGAGGGATGGAGGACAGAGCGGGAGGAGGGTGGCTGGGGAGACAGGAGCCGCTCTGGTCTGGCGAGACTGACGTGGTTTTTCACCCCACAACAAACCCTCTTCCGCTGCAAAGACCCAGGCCTGTGTCGTCCCTGTGCGGCCTCGTCCAAGTAGACGCCAGGTTTCCTACACTGGGACGCTGTGGGGGGCCTGAAGGGCAGGAGCGCACCCCGCCAGACATGGGGACCTGGTCCAGCACACAGCCCCATCAGGACCCGCCACACCTTGTTCCTTTGGGGTCCAGGGTCGTGCTGGACGGTGGCCCTGCACCTGGATGGCCTTGGACCCCCTGAGACCTCCTTTAGCCCGGGCTTAGCACTTCCCAGAGCAGTTCACCATATTTTAATTTACTAAAACCAAACACGAAAGCCAAACTCTTCCAGAAAAGCTGTTAAGGCTAAAAGCAGGCTGGGGAGAAGAGGAGGGTGGGCAGAGGGCCGCACCAGGCCCAGGAAGTAGGGAGCAGGCGGCAGGGCCGAGGGGGGAGGAGAGCTTCCACCTCCAGTCCCTGCCCCGTGCGCCTTGGTGTTCGGGAGTGTTTTTGCTTGATTTGGTGACGCCATCGGACAGAGCACAACAGAGGACAGAAAAGGCACAGGACGCAGCCAGATGCTTCGGTTCACGTGGCTTCTCTTGTTTTTTTTTTAGAAAAAAAAGATAAAAAGGTTTAAAAAATACTCTGGTTAACAATGCACACAGATTACGCCTCAAGCTGTTCTGGGCGCACAGCTGGGGCCCTGCTCAGCAGAGGTGTGGTGTGTTCCTGGGGGACCTGCTCCCGCCTCAATGGGCCTCCTGGTCCAGGTTCCTTGTTGCATGATGCCCCCCGCCCATCCGTTTCCACTTGGGGCGACTCCCTGCAGAGAAGCCAACTGCCCAGAGTGTCCCTGGGCTGAAATGTGGTGGCACAGTGATTAAAAACTCAACTGCTCTTCGAAGGGCTAGCAGTTTGAACCCCCCAATCGCTCCTGGTGAGAACACAGTGGCAGCTGCTTCTTGACAGACGCGTCTGGTCCCGGTTTGGCCACAGGGAGCCCAGGGCAGAGGTGGCGGGTGCCCTCCAGTTGAACCCACTCCTAGCTGAACCTCCAGAGGGTTTTCAGAGGCTGTAATTCACATGGGAGGTTGACTACCCATCTGTCTCCTGAGGGGCAGCTGGTGCATTAGAACCACCCACTCTGGGTTGGCAGCACCAACTCCTTTTCCACTAGGCCACCCAGGCGCCCTTCTACTGGGCAGAACAGAACGCCCAGTGAGTGTCTGACGCTGTAAATTTTTACAGAAACCAATCTCATCTTTTTCCTGCCGGTGGGTTCAAAGCACAGACACTGAGGCTCCCTGATCGCTTAACCCGTGGTGCCCCCAGGGCCCTTCCTGTGATGGTTGGTGGGTGGTGAGGAACTCCCTGTAGGGTAGGACTGCTCTGTCCCACAGGGTCGCTGTGAGTAGGGTCCCTGGTCCCCACAGGGACTGGCTGCCTAATGGTCATCATGGGAACAGACTTCGGGATCGTTTTTCCAGCAGAGCCATGGTGGATTCGAACTACTGGCCTTTTCTTTAGCAGCGAGCGCTGACCACTGGGCCGCCAGAGCATCTTTCTACCGAGTTTAAAGGGGGAGAGGAAGCCCGAGGCCTGTGACCACTGGTTTGTCAACAAATAATAACGGGTCTCAACAGGGACGGATGGTCAGGTAACGCTGGACTCGTGGGCCCAACGCCTGGAAACTCAGTGCGGCGGCTTCGGGCGGGTGTTTGGGGGTGACGCGGGGCAAGTGTGTGTTAGGCACCCACGAGGCCAGGTCACAAGGGTGCTGAATCCAGATGTGACGGGCACCCTCCAGCAGAAGATGCTAGAAGATGAAGAACGAGGCCGGCTGGCTGGCCAGGAAGAGGAGGCAGAGAGGAGGGCCTGGCTGCGCCTCCACACGCCCCCTTCCAGCCCGCACCTGGGCTTCTGGATGGAGAAGGACCCCAGGATCCCTCGCTGAGCACCCTGGCACCACCAAACGCCTTCTCGGTAAAGAAAAAGGAACAAAACCCGCGGCCCACAGCCATGTTACAAAAAGCCATTAAAAGCTGGCTGACTGAAATCTAGTATCCAGTCGTTAAAAGCATCTCTTAGCAGATTTCCCCCAAAAAAGAACAAACTTCATCTCAAGTGATCGGAGTTGATTGTCTTAAAAAAAAAAAACAACGGCAGTGAGCGTCCTCGGGGCGCCTGTCCTGCGTCACACGAACGAGGAGAAGCCGGTGAGGGGCGCACGGGCGCCAGGCTGGGGGCCCGCGGGGGTGTAGACGCCCCCGGAGCTCTGCGTGGTCACCACAGTCTGGAGGCGCCCCGGCTCGGCCCCCAAGCACTCCTCGTAGCGGTAGGGCGCGGGGTTCTTGCCGCTGGGGGGCCTGCGCTTCCAGGAGTTGTAGTAGGTGGGGTCGCTCATGTAGTGGTTGACGAAGGAGTGCTTGGGCGGCTCGTCCTCATAGTCAGAGTCGGTGGCCTAGAGGAGAGGGCGGGGTGAGGGGCGTTAAGGCCCGGGCTCCCTGCGCGCCGCCCCCGGGGTTCCCGGTTCCTGCCCGCCGCCCAGGGGTGGGGTCCCGTGTGGAGCGGAGCGCACCGGCCCCGCGCGGACCCTCCATCCAGGGCGTCCTGAGCCACCGCTGCTCCCTGGATTCGGCTCCCAGTCAGAACTCTGCTCGCACCCCCCACCCCTCAGACCACTGCACCCCCGCGGGGCCATCTACACAGCTGCCTTATCAGGGGGGTCCAAATGGGCAAGTCCAAATGGCCCTGGCGCCCCGGGAGGCTCTGCTCCAGGGCGTCGACACCGCAGACTTAGCCAGGGAGGTCCACTGGGCCCCACTGCCCAGGGAGGGCGACACACCTGCGGTGCACTGGGGTGGTCTACACAGCGTACTTGTTTAGGGAGGGTTACGGGGCCTCCCTGCCAATCAGGGAGCCACAAGAACCCTGTCCTTTAAGACGTCTACACAGCGTCGGACCTGCGTGGTTCCAATGCGGCACTGTCCATCAGTGCAGAGAAGGGCAGCGACAGGCCAGCGGAAAGCAGTGGGGGATGGGTGTGGAGTGCCCCCCAGATCAGAGCTAGGGCTTAGGCACCGCAGCAGGAGGGAGGGCTTAACGCAGCTCTGCGCCCATTCCCCTCCTGCCCCACCCCCTGCGCTGCTCCCCCAGGCTCTGATCTGTCCCCTCCCCACGCGCCCGTGCCCCCTCCCCTGGCTCTGAGCCATAAGGATTTAGTGTCTTGGAAATGCTATGAACAGGTGTCTGTCACAGCGAACCCCCTTCCTCCAGCCACAACAGGGAGAAGAATGCGTCCACGTCCACGCCGCCAGGTGCCACCCCTGACTCTAGCTCTCACACACTGGGAGCGACAGAAACTCGCCCAGTCGCTCTGTCAGTCCACATCTTGGAGGATCTTCCTCCTCTCATGACCCTCCACTTTTCCTTTCTTCCCCAAGCACGAGCCTTACTCCAAAAACTGGCATCTCCCTGTAACAGGCCCAAAGTACCGGGGGCAAGGTTTCACCTTCTTATCTGTAAGGAGCTTCCTGATGGTGCTTCTCAGCCACACTTGTCTGTACTCTCGGGGTTCCTGGGGTGTTCAGTGCTCCTCTCCAGCACCGATTCACCCCCAGTCTTTGTTATTCATTCAGTCCTCCAGCTTTCAGGTGCACAGTACGCTCCTAAAAGCACTGCTGCTCGGGGCTGAGGTTCTTGACACCATTATATCCTCCTGTGTTGTCACTTTCAAGAGGCCTCCGACCACAGTTTTGCCCAGTGCAGCAGGCTTGGGCTTATTTGGAGTGGTTTTTGTTTCTTTTTAATTTCTCGATATCTGCAACCATGAGTGTTGACTGTAGATCCAAGAGAAAGAAAACATTGGACAACTTCAATCTTCCCATCTCAGGATGTTGCTGATTGGCCTCGTTTTCTTGATGGGGAGGCGCGATTCATACGGAAGACCCTCGTCTTTGATCTTCTTCAGCTTTAAGTGCTTTCTGCAAGGAACGCTGTGTCCTCTGCACATCATAGCTTGTTGTCGAGGCCTCTCGCAGCCCTGCTGCCACAGACTTCTTCACATGGCCCAGCTTGTTCGTTCAGCATGTGGAAGGGAGTGATGGGTATGAAGCAAGGCTACAGCCCTGGGGCACAGCTCTCCTGACTGCAAACCAGGCAGGGTTCCCCTGTTTTGTTAGAATGACTGCTTCTTGGCCTGTACAGGTCCCACGTTAGCACAGTGAAGTGTTCTGAACGCCCATTCTCCTCAATGCTATCCATACGTCAGGCGAGTGCCTTATCATAGGAAGAGATGAGAAGACATCTTCCCAGCATTCCCTGCTCTCATGGGTGGTTCTTACACGGAGTCTCCGTGAGTGACGGAGGGACAGTTAGCTCCCGTGGTCACTGGTGCTCTGAATCCCTTGCACTGAGCCTGACCAGCACCTGCTGGTGGCAGCTTCCTGCCTTTTCCCGTCCTTCGCCCCCCCGCCTGCTCTCACCTTCTGTACCTGTTAGGGGCTGAGAGTGGCAGGTGGGACCTACAAATACCATCTGGAAAGGACCCCTGTGAAATGGCTGGGGTATGTGACAGGATAAAAGTGCTGGGCAGGTGACAAGGACATAGGGCCAAAGGGTGGTGTGCTGGGGGGGAGGGAGGAAAGGTAGTGTGTCATGGATTGAACTGCTCCCCCCAAATTTGTGTCAGTGTGGCTGGACTGTGATTCTCTGCGGCGTGGTGGTTTTGTAATGGTGGGATTTATTCTGTAATGACGCAGTCACCTCCATGTCACACACAGGGCTATGGTGAGTTGGAGCTGACATGCTGTAACTACTTCGGCATGTTTTACTTGAGAAGGGGCTTGTCCATAAATAATGACACGAACCCACTGGAGTTATACCTTCACCTTCAAAGTTAGCCTTTCTTGCTAGGCGATCTGCATAGCTCCACCCTAGGAAATCTGCAGTTGCTAATGGGTGCATGTCCCACTGAAGCGGAGCCAATTGGAATCTCGCCTGGGACTTTTCACCCTAACGTAGGAAAAGAGCAAGATCTTTGAGTATAAAGACAGCGGAGAGCCTTCGTGGACAGAGCTGTGCGCCCTAGCAAGAAATTCCAGAGTCCATTTGCTCAGTACAGCGGCCAGGCCGGGAGAAGCAGGAACTGGGACCCCAGAGGATCCTGGACCCTCTTTTGCTCCCTGTGAAGGATGAAGAAGTGGGAGCTCGCCCAAGATCACAGGACGATGCCAGGCAGATGTGGGTTAAAGTCAGACCTCCTGGTCCAGTTCGCTGCATGCCACCTCTCTGGGAAAGCGTGTTAAAATGCTCCCTTTCCTCCGCCACCTGCTCTGTTTACTGCTTATGCACCTTTATTATTTTTTAATGGGGATACAGTTTAGTGAACTAGAGTTATTGACACAAAGGGAATGCTGCAGGGTCTTTTTAATTTTTATTTTAAGTTTCCTGTGTGGGGATGACAGCCTGGGTGCTGGTTTCCCAGGCAACCGTGGGAGGAAAGCCCATGATTGGCTGAAGGACCAGCTGACCCTGAGTTTGTAAAGAGGACAGACACCTGGCAGTGTACATCCCAGCGCTATGCTGGGAGGACGAAGGTGTAGGTTTTATTAGGGAGTTGATTAGGTACGAGGGGCTGTCAGAGTCCGGTGAATCAGGGGAGGGCTGTGAAAACTGGGTCCCTGAGTTTGGAAAACTATTTTTAAAAAATTGTGGCTTGAATAGTGGCACTGATGCAGTCCATAAGGAGGCATGTGGTAACTCATTCTCCACTCAGGGCCCTCTCGCTGGAATCACCCTCCACTGGGTCTCCACGGCCGCACCAGAGGTGACTGGCCATCCTTCTCCCTCAGGGTGGATTTGAACCAGCAGGGAGGCGTTCTACACCCTATGGACCGCATGCCCAGGGCACTTCTGTCACTTCGTCACAGCAGCACTCTGTCACTATGACTTGGACATGGAACAATCTCTTCCCAAGGACCTCTTCAGAGTGTCCAAGAGCCAGGGTGCTGCTTTGAGCACTAAGCTGAGTCTGATCCTGCCATGATAGGATTAAACTGACTCAAACACACGGGAAAGCGTACAATGAATGCGGTTGAACCAGAAAGGAAGCCTTTGGACTGTCGTGTTGGTGGAGGAGGGATACGCCAGGAGCGGCCAGGAGGACAAGGTCTTGGGAGAAAGTTGGCCAGCACGTCCCTTAGAAATGAGGAGAGATCTTGTCTCACAGACTTGGAGCATGTTGTCAGGGGAGCCAGTCCCTGGAGAAAGACATTAAGTGCAGAGGGTCATCAGAGGAGAGGAAGACCATTAATGAGATGGCCTGACAGTGGCTGTAGCAATGGCCCAAGGACAATGAGGCCAGAACACGAAGATGGACCTTCCTCCTTCACAGCACAGAGAACACATCCTCTCTTCTTGGGGTCTCCGGTTAGAGTTCATTGAAATGTCTAAGCTTATTTAAATCCATGTGGGAGAATAAATATCTTACTGACCAGCCTAAATCCAGTCGTTTCTTACATGGTCTCATGTGAAGCGGCTTTTGGTTTCTGTAATCCTACAGCTGGCATTAGTCTGGCAGCCCTAGCAGGAGTCCTGCCATTCTACTCCCTGTACAGATTTGAGGGGTGAAGGACCTGGCCAGAAGTCTAGGCCACACCAGGAAAAGGAACTCAAGAACATCACACACTTTCTGTGTGGATCCCCACTGAATGTCAACGTTATCATTGCTCATGCAAAAGAATTTTCCAGAATGACAGTGTGAGGTGCTCAGGGGACGCTCTCCCCAGGGGTACGATGATTTAGTGAATATTATTTTGGTAATAACACTCATTTAAGGTCTCTGCAAATGGGCTTAAGGGCGTATGGCAAATGGGGAGCCATTTATCCGGAAAAACCCATGAAATTGCAGTTAAGAGCCCAGGACGTTGAGACTCACCCTGTTCTATACCCCATCCCCAAGCTCACAGTAATGGGAGTTCTTCTCTGTTCCCCAAACCTAACCCACCACTGGGGAGATGATTCTGCCTCACAGACCCTGAGGGGCCTCATAGGACCGCCTCGTTGGGTTCCCACACTGTCAATCTTTCTGGAATGTATTATGGAAATGTACTGCGGAGTGGTGGCTGGTAGGTGCCCATTGCCAACCTTCTTTTGGTTAGAAGTCAAATGCTGTGAGCCCAGGTCTGTTGTGGCTGAAGAGACCACGCCCCTCCTCCAGCTCACTATCGTTCTCCCCACTCCCCACACCAGCCCCACGTTCACAGGAACCGACACCACACTGTTCCTTCTAGAAGAAATTATCCATGCAGCGTGGCAAGCTAAGAATGCGGGGCCCTGGCGCCCTCACTCCAGGTGGCTTGGAGGGCTGAGGCTATGGGCTGGGAAGGGCCAGCTCAGAAGACCAGGAGCCTTGGCTGTGGAAGAAGGGGGTGGTGGTCCTCTCCCCAGCCCAGAACAGAAGTACCCCACAGAGCTCCTGCCTCGGGGCGGCGTGGGGTCCATGAGAACAGGCCCCGCCAAGCCTCTGCCTTCCTGAGCATGAGAGAGCTGATGTGTTTGTAAAAACAATGGAGATCTTGCTGCTGCTGTTTTTACTAGTCATCATCTGGAATATTCCACGCCTGGCAGCCACGTGCACAGAGGACTCCTCGGCTGCTTTCTCAGGACTGGGAGCTGACCACAGGCCTGCCTTCGGAGGCACATTGGACTGACGCACCTGGATTTGCCGCGCTCCGCTTGACGGCCTCTCATAGACACTGCATTTCTTAGGAATTGGAGGGTTTGGGCCAGTCTGTCGGACCCATTCTTCACTTCTCTGTGTCACATGTTAGTGATTCTCACGGTACTTCACGCTTTGTCATCACGCTATTGCAGTTTCCAGATGTGCAAACCCGCGGCTGCTGAGGTGGAGACCCTTCCCGGGCTTCCAAGGCTCCCTTCTCCGTGGGAGCAGACTGCTTCCTCCTTCTCCGGTGGAAACTGGTGGACTTGAAACACTGACCTCTCAATTAGCAACCCAACACATGCAGTGCTGTCCACCACTGAGGCTCCTTTAACCGTCGACAACAGAGCATCAGCACGCTTCTGGGCACTAAGAACAACCATGTGACTAGCTTTATTTCCATCTTTTCAGAGGTCTGGCACTGAGCTTGAACTCCGAGGTCTGCTGGAGGACAAGAGGAAATTTCCTTCCTATGCCATTTACAGCCTTGGGAAGATGCTGCTTGGGGTTTGCCTAGGAGCTGTTTTCAATTTGACAGCCAAGAGTGAGAGGCCGTAGCTGAGAATTGAGCCATTTACACTCCCCAGGGACTTCTAATGGAGATCTTCAAAGCTGAGAGAAGGTGACAATTCCATAAAAGCAACAAGGGACAAAAGAGACCAGCTAGAAGCTTTACAGAAAGACCTCAAGAAAGATAAGGCTAAGTCCCCTCTGGGAGTCAGGGCAAGGCTCCCTCACTGACATTTTACTTTGCAAAACGGCTAGACTTCAGTGAATCAGAATTGTGGAGCAATTTGTATCTCAAAACATTAGACAACAATTAAATAGCTATTACTGGTGTAATTCCAGTAGTGACGGACATTATAAGAATGGAGGCGAACAGCTGGTGTGACACCAATGGTGACAGATCATTACAAGCATGAGGGGAGATCAGACAAAGAGACAGTCTATAAGAATCAAGTTAAAGGTGGTCTGGGAGATGGCACATGTGTGAGGGGTGAGGGTAGATTCACGGAGCAATGCTGTCGAAGCACCAACCGAAGGAGAAAATAAGAGCGAGCAGAGAGTGAGGGAAGGGTATGTATCACAGAGGGGAGGGAAGGGTGCACATCACAGAGGGTGAGATCACCGAGGGTGAGGGAAGGGTACGCATCAGCAGTCAGAGTCGTTACAACGTATTATCTAAACAGCACAAGTATGATGGAATATGTAAAACTAACAAGTATGGTCTACAAAGAGGGGAAAGATAGGGGCAGATGTAAGAAACGGCTATTACAATTGTATTTAAAGGAGGAGGGAGTCGCCTTGATGACACCAGCCCCCGTGACATGCATCTTTACAGAATTAGAGGAAAGCACGCTGACAATGCTGCTTCAAGTACTGCTGTGGTTGGTAAGTGCTCTGGGGTGAATCCTGACTCAGCGTGACTGAACCCTGCCCAGCACTTCACCGTCCTCACAAGTATCGTTGTGGTTGAATCCATGGACTCTGTCAAAGGTTTCATCTGATTTAGATCTGCAGTCAGTGCCCATGAACGCAATAGTCAAGAAATCCAAGAACATGGTGCACTGGGCAAACCTGCTGCAAAGGACCTCATGAAAGAAAACAGCATGGATGTCAGCTTAAAGACAGAGGGGCCAAACCAAGCCACGGTGTTGGCAACTGCTCAAATGCATGTGGAAGCTGGACAATAGATACGAAAGACTGAGGACAAATGGTGTTCTAAGTAGAGAGGATAAGTAGACACACAGAAAATAAATAAATCACAAACAAATGAACATTTTAGAGTTGAAGATAATCACTATTAAAACATCATAGACTAGGGACTCAACAGTCGACTGGAGTGGAAGAAGAAAGAATAGGTGAACCTGAAGATGTATCAGCAGAGATCACACAATTCCAACAACAGAGAAGGAAAAATAAAACAAAAAAGAATGAAAAAAGAAATGGAGCCTTCAAGAAATCTGCTGGAAAAATAAGTGCACCAACATACATATAATGGGAGTCCAATCAAAAGATCCAAGATAGAAGCAGAAAAAGAATGGACTTAACAGTGACTCGCAAATTCTCAGAGGAGCCCTGAGGAGCCCCAAACAGGACGAGAAGCCTACTGTGTAGCCTCACCAGACTAATAAATGCAAACTGAGACACATGTGAACAGATACACTCAGCTACAGCATCGTCAGAATCAGAAAGTCAATCCTGACACCAGCCAAGAGAAAAACAAAACTCATCACCCTCAAGTCGAAGCCAACTCAGAGCTGGTCCTCTGCAGGCTTCTGAGGTGTAAACGGCACAGGAGGAGTTTATTCATCTTTCTACTCTGGATTTGAATCAGCAGAAGCTTTGTTTTTGGTTAGTGTTTCAACTCCCCGCGGACTATGCCGCCAGAGAAGCCAATCATGGTAACGGTTTACTTCCCATCAGCAACATGGTGGGAGATGGCACTGGGACAGCATATTCAAGACAACTGTCAACCAAGACTCTGAACCTACAAAACTCCTGTCAAATGAAGTTGAAATAAAGACATTCCCCGGTAAATTTAAAAAAGAAAAAATATTACTAGCTTACTTGCCTTATAAGAAACCCAAAAGGAGACTGTCAAGCTGGAAGCAAGTTATGCAGGCAATAATTCTGATCCACGCAAAGAAACAAAAGCACCAATGAAGGGATTCATATAGGTAATTAGAAAAGACAGTGTAATCGCATATTTCTTCTCCTTCCCTTCCCGATCTGATTTAAAAAGCAATTGCATGAAATGATGTGTATATAATTGTCCCGTTGGGCCTGGAGCACACAGCAGCACAAACGAGGTGACAACAAAACTGTAACAGAGAAGAAAATGGAGCCAGAGCACGGGAGGAAGTACAAGGGGAGGGAGGTTAATACAGCAGACCACACACAAACGCTAGCTTTCCTTCCTCAGTCTCTTTTATAAACATATAATTACCTAAAACAACAACGATGAGAGTGTTTTGTTGGATTTGCAACCTAGACACGATGTATGTAATGATAGTAAGAGGAAGGAACAGGGTTGTGTAAGAGTCAAGTTTCTAGACGCCACAAGAATGAAGTTAATATAGAGGTGAAGTCCGAGGTGGCGTGGAGGTGAAATGTAAGGTCTAGAGTGAAGAGGTGGGCGTGAGCCCCACATGCTGGTCATCGGAACATGCAGGGCGGGGACCCCAGTGCCTGGTCAGGCTCCCCTCCTGTGGCACAGTGTGATGTGGGGAAGTCATTGCAGAGCCTCGGGGCTCAGCACAGGCTGGATTCAGGGCAAAGTGAGGATGAGATTCAATATTGACTGGGAAAACGAGTGCCAGCAGGTGGTGAGAGCTGGTGTGTGCAGCAAACGGCTGGCTGAGTTTTATCCCTCTGAAGGCTTTGCACAGATTAAGTATTGGGCTGCTAACCAGATAGTCAGCAGTTCAAATCCCCTAGCTACTCCAGGGGACAGAGATGAGACATTCTGCTCCACAAAGATTTACAGTACTGGGGACACTCCAGGGCAGATCTGCTCTGTCCCGCGGGTTGCTGTAAGAGTCAAAGTCAATGTCAACTCGATGGCAGTGGCTGGGGCCAGGGTCCGTGGCCTGAGGCGGAGGGACTCTGTGAGGGAGGAAGGGAGGTTCTGGATGGGACTGGTGTACTGTGGTCTGACCTCACCCGGATTTGGGCTCAAGGTCAGGGTCTGCAGCTGATCAGTAACTGAGGTGTCACGCGGGCTCTTGGGGCCCCGGACTGTGACCTCACAAGGCATGGCCCTGGGTTAAGCTGAGGCTAAGCTCGCCGCAGACACTGAGAGGGCTGGTGGTGGGGCCGGGCAGCGCAGTGGTCAGGACAGCACCTGGTGATGGGGGAACCATCGGGTGAAAGGTGGGGCAGTTGCTTCCACAACAAAACTGTGTGAGGCCATGGGAGCTCTGTCCTAGGGGCCCGCTGTGAGCCAGAACTGACTGGACCACAGGGGCCCTGGCTACGTGACTCGGAGAGCTGCTCTGCCTGAAACCAGGCCTCTAGTGCCCAGAGGGGCCCATGTCGCTGACCGCTGCTTTGCCGGGTTTTCCCTGTGAACGCCAGGGACTGTGACAGACCAGGAGGATGGAGGACAAGCACTCGTCACTCCCTGACGCCAAGGAGGCTGCATCCCCACTCACGCCTGTGCGAACGTGCAGCCTGCGTCCCGGCATGTGTGCGAGGGGGCTCGGGCCCTCAGAGCCAGGGGCCCCAGGTCTAGCCACCCCCTGAGGTGGGGACAAGTCCAGCTGGGCTCAGCCTGGCGCTGCCGACCGGCGGAGCAGCCCCGTGTGCACCTCTGCTCCCGAACAGCACGAGTGTATGAGGGACAGTGAGGCCAGCGGAGGGGATGGTGGCCAGGACCTTGAGCGGTGGGGCTCCCTCCCCAGAGTCCACAATGGCTCAGGAGGGTGGGGTCAGAGGGCATGGGGGAGGACTGGGCCCTCTTAGACTCTCTCCTCTCCCAAGTGGCCCCTTGTCAGCTCTGCACACCCCCCCACAGCCATGTGGCCCTGGAGACCAAGCCCATCCCCCAGGTTCAGCCGTGGCCACTCACCTCAGACTCAGACGCGTCCACGGACTTCTCCTTGAGGTTCACAGTCTCGGTCAGCACAGCCCCATTGTACTTGTTGCAGATGTCCTCGTCTGAGTAGTGCAGGCCGCCTGGGCTGGGCCGGGGAGGGGATCTAGGCAGAGGGACAGGAAGGTGAGTCCGAGTGCAGGCTCTTTCTCCCTTCCTGCAAAGGGACTGGATGGCTGCCTGTCCTCACAGAGCGTGTGCCGAGGTCGGGGGTCACCCCTCAGAAGACACGGGCATTTGCAGCAAGGGGGCAGAGCACTGACCAGCTCAGACTTTGCTGGGACAGGTTCTTTCTTGTTTTGAAATCACGTCCCTTCATTCTACTGTTCCTTTTTGTCTTGTACACAACAGAAAAAAATGGACTTTTCAGCCTCCTGAAACGAGGTGGACGTGAGTGGACAATATGGACAGGCAGTGCAGGGTGGGGCCTTCGCTGTGGGCTCGGTGGCTTGGGAGGGCTGGCTGGAGGGCAGCTGGTAGGAGAGGTGCCTTGGGTGGGTGACCGTCTCCCCTAAAGGGTGAGGGTCTCTGAGTCAGGACCACTCAGAAGGCTGGTGCTCCGACACCCAGCAGTGGGGAAGGCTGGGCACAGTGTCGGGCTGTGGGCTGTCCAGACAATGAAAGGGACTCGGGGCCTTTTTGGTCTGTGTCTTGACATAAGAGCAGATTTGATGGGGGCAGGTGGAGCTGCCCGGAGCTCCCCAGGCTGCAAAGCTTCGAGGGCAGAGATCTTTCTCCTGTGAGAGACAGGGCTGCTGCAGTGTTCAGACACTAACCTGCTAACTGCTGGTGGTTCGAATCCACCTATTGACCCCATGGGGGGAAGATCTGGTGATCTCTCATAAGGAACAAAACCTCAGGAAACCTTATTCCCTACAAGTCAGTTCCCACTCACTATGACCCCGCGGCAGGGCAGGGCTGCCCAGAGGGTTGTATAGTCAAGGAATCTCCATGGAGACGGCCTGGTGGCCGCGTTTCTGCCCACCCGGCAGATGGTAAGCGTGAATGGCTGGCATTTCCACTAGCAGGTGATGCTTAACCGCTGCATCACTGGGCGTCTTCGCAGGAAGACTCCACCCTAGGAACCTTTCTGGGCAGTTCTACTCTGTCATGTGGGGCCGGGATGTCTGGGGGATGTGACGGCACCCACCAACAACAGGAAGTGTGGCCTCCTTAGAGGCAAGGATGATGACGCGCCGTCCCAGTACTCTGGTCATGCCGTCAGGAGAGGCTAGTCCTTGGGGAAAGGTCATGCTGGGAGAGTCAGAGGATCAGTGGAAGAGGGCAGGCTCTCAGCGGGCTGGAATGACAGTGACGGCAGAGACCCGAGGACGGCGTGGGCTGGGCACGGTTCAGTCAGTGTCCCTGTTAGTTGCAGCTGACCTGATGGCCCCTAACCACCACCATCCACCTGCAGACCCCTGGACTGGGCTGGCCCCTGGCTCCGGTCAGACCCTGGAGCCACCCCGTGAGACCTGGAGGGTCCCCTTGTGCCTGGCCAGCACCCCAGTCCTGACGGCTCCAACCTGGGGCTGCTGCGTGTGCCAGGTGACCCACCTGGTCCCGTTCTTCTTGGAGAAGGTGTTCTTGACGTTGAGGTGGCGGCTGTTGAGCTCCAGGGCAGCAAACCCTCCATTGTCCAGTGTCACGGCCTCATCCATGTTGGAGAGGTTCTTCCCTGAGAGAGCAGAGCACACGGTGCAGGAGCGTTACTGCAGGGCCCACGGCCACTGGCCCGTCAGCGCACTGTGAGGGGCGGGCGCATCCTGCCACCCCGAGGCCAGAGCTGCCGGCCTGGCCCAGCCTGAGGCCAGAGACACCGGGCAACCGAAGGCCACCACCTTCCTCTCACTGGGCTCCTCTCTGGATCCCGGGTTTTTGGAGCCGAGCACAAACTGAAACCCAAAAGCAAGCCCAGTGCCCCAAAGTCCGCCCGACCCGGAGCGAGCCCACAGGACACACAGAGCAGCTCGCAGTCTTCCCACGCCAGGCCCCTGGGGGCTGACCGCTTCCACCTCATCACTCTGCTGAGTGCCCAGTGGTCTCTAATCACAGACCTTCTGGTCAGCAGCCATGCGCTTTACCCACTGTGCCACCAGGATTCCTCAGAACAAAATGAGTTTTGCTATTTGTTAAATGTACCTGCACCTCTGAACTTGGGGCAGGAGAGGCCCCTTCGGCCGGGATCCCGGTGCCCCTCCATGTGCTGGACTGTGTGCAAAAGACAAAGTGCCCTGAGCCACAGAGCTGCAGACGAGAGAGGGTCCATCTCAGCAGAAGGGCTGGGAGTGTCTGCCATGGACTATGTCCTCCGCAAGACACACACAGGTAACGCTGTGTGACTGCCTATGATCTAAGATGTGACACTCTTGGTGTTAGCAGTCAAGAAATCACCAGAAGAATTGCAGTGGGAACCTCTGCTGTCATGGCCTCTCCAGAGTGCCGGAGAGCAATGATGCCAGTCTGGAGATGAGGCGTTTCTGGTCCAGGCCACGGTCTTTGCAACTATTTGCTTTGCGTCAGAGAGCTGGATAATGACCAAAGATGATAGAAGAAGTAATACCTTTGAGCTGTGGTGCTGGAGAAGAGCACTGAACATACATGGACCTCAGGGTGTGGCCAAGAGAACTAACAGGTCTGTCCTGGAGAGGGTGAAACCAAGCAGCTCACTGGAGGCAAGGACTTTGAAGCTCTGTCTCACATACTTTGGACATGTTTCCAGCAGGGACTAGTCTTTGGAGAAGGACATCATGCTTGGAAGGGTGGAGGGACAGTGCAGGAGAGGAAGACCCCAGATAAGATGGAGTGACATAGTAACTGGGGTAGTGAGGGGAGGTGTGCAGAGACAGCGAGATTGGCTCAGGATAGAACAGGGCTCAGAGCTACTGTGCACAGGGCCGCCGCTGTGAGTTGTAGTCGACTTGATGGCACAAAACAGCCCCAGGACGTGACCAGTAGTAGTAAAGAGGTCAGATGAGCTGCCACACCCTGATGCAGGTCACAGCTCCATCACAGGGGAGTCCTCCCTCTGGGTGTGAGTCCTCCCCCAAGGGTGTGAGTCCTCCCCCGGGGGTGTGAGTCCTCCCCCGGGGTGTGAGTGCTCCCTCAGGGGGTGTGAGTGCTCCCTCAGGGGGGTGTGAGTGCTCCCTCAGGGGGGTGTGAGTCCTCCCCCGGGGGTGTGAGTCCTCCCTCGGGATTGTGAGTCCTCCTCCGGGGGTGTGAGTCCTCCCTCGGGATTGTGAGTCCTCCCCCGGGGGTGTGAGTCCTCCCCCGGGGTGTGAGTGCTCCCTCAGGGGGTGTGAGTCCTCCCCTGGGGTGTGAGTGCTCCCTCGGGGGGTGTGAGTGCTCCCTCGGGGGTGTGAGTCCTCCCCGGGGGTGTGTGTGTTCCCTCAGGGGTGTGAGTGCTCCCCCGAGATGTGAGTCCTCCCTCGGGGTGTGTGAGTCCTCCCTCGGGGTGTGAGTCCTCCCTCGGAGTGTGGCCTGCATCATCCTGTGACTCACTGACTCATAGTGACCCCCACCGGGTTTCTGAGGCCTTGAATCGCAACGGGGCCGCTCATCTTCCTCCCCTGGAGCAGCTTTGAACCACCGGAGATACAACACCCTGTGAACGAGGCCCTCTGAGCTCCCTCCTGTCTCGCAGGCATAAAGGATGGAGGAATCTCAGTTCTACCAAGACACAGAGCAGGTCAGGAGGGCGTCCTTTGGGCCTGTCCCTGACCTGGGAACCCCTAGGCCCTGGAGACACACACCGGGCCGCCCGCACATGGATCCAGAGCCCAGAACGCAGACTCCAGCCTCCTAACTGGCGACAGGGACATTTTCAATCCTCCCTTGTGGTATTTCTGTAATAGCTGCACCAGGAGCCCAAGGCAGGAGGAGGCAGATGCACAGGTATTAACAGGACCTGAGCAAAATGCAGGCCAGGGCAGCAGGGCCGCTGGTGACAGCAGGGACTCACGGCCATCTGCCAGCCTTCTGGGAGCCGGGGACATTCAGGGAAGCGGGTAAGTGATGACTGTGGTGGTCTGTCTAGGCCTCGGCTGGGGGCTGGGCTGAGTGGAGGATCTGCAGGTCCCCCGGCCTTCCCTCCTGACTCGTCTCCAGCTCCGTCTGTGTGCAGAGGCCAGGAGAGCGCAGGCGTGGGTTTCCAGAGTGGGATGCGGTGCTGTTCATACATTTTAAATCTCACAGGAATAAAACCTGATTTATGGACACTTGTTAGAAGTGAGTTTATACAGAAAAAAGAGACTTTTCTCAGAGGAGTGAATTGCCTCACGTGACACAGCAAAGGTGGCTTGTGCTCTTAACCCCTTCTGCACCCCGAAGGAGCTGACGAGGCAGTGTGGGTAAGCACTGCTCCGCTGACCAGAAGGTCAGCAGTTCCAACCCGGGAGCCAGCCCGTGGGAGAAAGATGAGGCCGTCTAACTCCATGAGGGTTTAGAAGGCCCTGGGGGTGGGGGGTCCTGCACTGTCCCATAGGGTCACCATGGGCTGGAACCGTGACAGCAGGATGTCAGCATCATGGTGGATGACCTCCAAGGGCTGGACGGCTGGCTTTCTCTGTACGAGCCGTCATCAGGGGTCCACGGAGTGGACAGTGCGCTCTGATGAGGGAGGCAGGTCAGAAAGGCCCCTCTCCCACACTGCTGGTCCCGGGGCCTCTACTATTCCCGGTTCAGCCAAAGCTAGATGGACCTGCACAGAAGGCAGCGGCCAGAAGGACGGCTCAGGACTGGGCAGCAGCCCGGACCCCTGTTGTACGGCCATTACGAGTTGGAGCCGACAACTGGACCCACCTCCCCCGGCCTGTGGGTGTGACCTGTGGTGGCTGTGTGGTGCTGTCACACTGGACACTGTGGCCGCAGAAGTGCAGGTATCCAGAAGGTCACCATGTGGACAGGTTCCATGGCCCTTCTGGACAAACGTGGGCTGAGAAGAAAGCTGTCCGCTTACAAAGGCCGGCCAGTGGAAACCCGGCCACAGGACATGGTGTGCTTCCGCGGGGAGCACAGTGACCACAGGCACGGACTCAGCAGACCAATGGCCATGAAGATGACCAGGACAGGTCACTGCAGTTCATGGACAGCCAGGAGCCGGAGCCAGAGCCAGCCTCCTGCTGCATGGCTGCACCCCAGGCATGGAGCGGGGGACACAAGGGGGTGAGCCCTCCGAGACAGACCGCTGGGTGTGAGACACGGCACGACCCCATGGACTTGAGAAGGGCTGTGCTGTGGTCAGGTTCTAGAACAGTCCACCCCAGGCTTTGTGAGGAGGTGGATCTCTGGTTCATTTTCCCAATGTCGCTAAGTCTGTTTAAGGGCGTCACATTCCAGAACACAGCAACGTCTAGGATTCCGTTACACCTGGGGTCACGATCAAGGCCATGGAGGTGGCAGGAGTAAAAAAAAAAAATAATCCAGTGCTGTATTGCAGCGGACAGCTGGGCGACCCCTCCACATGCAGTGTCCCTGAGAGTCGCTGGGCCAGCCAGATGGTTCCAACTCCATGTGGACAGCAACAACAACAACAACAACAATCTGCTCTGAAGGAGCCTTCAAAACGCTGAAGAACAAGGATGTTGGCTTAAAGACAAAGGAGCCACTGACTAAATAATGCTGTTTTCAATCACTTCATATACAGAGTGTGGAAACTATAGAACAATATCATAGATTTCTCATGCAAGCAAGATTCTACTGAAGATTATCCAAAAATGACTGGAACAACACATCAGCAGACAACTGCCAGACGTCCAGGCTGGGTTTAGAAGGGGTCGTGGTACTAGGGATATTGTAGCTGATAGTAGATGGATCTTGGCTGAAAGTAGAGAATACCAGAAGAATGTATATCTGTGTTTCATTGACTATGCAAAGGCATTTGACTGCGTGAATCATAACAAACTATGACTAACTCTGAAAAGAATGGGAATCCCAGAACACTTGATCGTTCTAATGCAAAACCTATACTTGGACCAGGAGGCAGTCATCAGAATAGAGCAAAGAAACACTGCATGGTTCAAAATTGGGAAAGGTGTACGCCAGGGATGTGTCCTATTTCCATACCTTTTCAACCTGTATGCAGAACAGATTATCTGGGAGGCTGGGCTCTATGAGGAGAAGTGTGGTGTCAGGATTGGTGGAAGAGCTATTCACAACCCTGCTTGCTGAAACTGAGGAGGACCTGAAGCACTTGCTGCAGAGGGTCAAGGACTGCAGCCTTCAGTATGGATTGAGGCTCAATGTCAAGAAGACAAAGATTCTCACCACTGGGCCAACTGACAGCATCAGGATGGATGGTGAAGAGATTGAGATTGTTAACAACTTTAGTCTGCTTGGCTCCATGGTCAACACTCTTGGCACCAGGAGCCAGGAAATAAAAAAACTTATTGTGATGGGCAAGTCTGCTGTCAAGGACCTCTCTAAAGTACTCAAGAGCTATGGTGTCACTGTGGAGACTAAGGTGCAACTGATACAGGCCATGGTCTTTGCAATCATTTGTTATGCATCAGAGAGTTGGACAGTGACTAGGGAGGATAGAAGGAGAATTGATGCCTTTGAGCTGTGGTGCTGGAGAAGAGTATTGAATGTACCCTGGACTGCCAAGAAAACAAACAGATTCATCCTGGAGAGGGTTAAACCAGGCTACTCCTTGTAGGCAAAGATTCTGAGGCTTTGTCTGACATACTTTGGACATGTTGTAAGGAGAGACATGTCCCTTGTAGAGGGACATCATGGGAGGGTGGAGGGACAGCGCAAGAGGGGAAGGCCCTCTATGAGGTGGATGGATTCAGTGACTGGGGTAATCGGGATGGGTGTGTCAGAGGCAGTGAGTTGGCACTGGATAGAGCAGGGTTTAGGGCTGTTGTACATAGGGTCACTGTGAATCGCAAGCGACTCAACGGCACATAACAACAACAACAACAACAACAACATATGCATGTGAAAGCCTCTGGACTGTGGTGCTGGAGGGGAGCACTGAGTACCTGCACTGCTGAGAGAACAGGCCCGTTGGCCTTGGAGAGAACGCAGCCAGAGTGCTCCTCACACAGCCACCCGGCATGTTGTCGGCAGGGGCAGTTCTTGGGAGGGACATCACGCTTGGGAAGGAGGAAGGCCGGAGGGGGAGAGGAAGACCCTCAGGGGAGAGGCTGACACACGACTGTGGCCTGGAGTCCAGGCAGGGGGCACCAGGACGGCGTGGGACTGGCACAGATGGCGTCTATCATGGGTGGGTTTGCGGGAGTTAGTGCTGACCGGGCAGGGCCCAGCGACAACACCACATTGGCTCAGTTGTTCAGGTGAGGAATTGGAGGCCAGGGAGGCCCAGGACTCACAGGCCTCAGTGCCCCTGGCCAGCTGCTGGCCCCGTCTGCAGCGACAGGGGACCTCCTTGTGGCTGTCCCAGGCTGCCTCCAGAACAGGGCTGCTGCCTGCGGATCAGCTACGTTAGCCAAGTGAGGCCGGGGCACTTCTGGAAATTGAGCCGGGGCCCGGGACACCCACCTGTGCTGCAGTTCTTGTACTTCTTGTTCTGTCCATGCAAGACCAGGGCGAAGACCACCAGCAGGACAATGATGAGGCTGGACAGCGCCATCACCAGGAGGAACCACCACTCCTCGTAGAACGGGGCTTCTACTTGGGCTGGAGGGGACAGACACCATGTGATGCTTCCTGGAAACTCCCGTCCTCTCAGTCAGCAGCTGGTGGTGTTCCTGTGCCTTTGGGGCTCCCAGCAAGGCCGGCAGGGTAAGCGCGGGTGTGCACAGGGCTGTGTCTGGGTGTCTGCGCCCCCGGGGTGGTTCCCTTGGCCTTTCTCCCCTGTGGAGCCCACCAGGAGGGAGCAGTGGGCAAAGGGCCCAGCACCGCGTGCATAGCGGAAAGAGCCCACGGTCTGAAAGCAGACGGACTTGGCGTGCACTCTGCCATAGGCTCCTGTAACGCTCCGGAAGTTCCCCTAGTGCCCTCCCCCCAGCTGCCCCGCAGACCCCAGGGAGGTGTCCTACCTGATACAGCCATGGAGGGGCTGCTGGGCTCCCCATAGCCCACCTCGTTGACGGCCACCACGCGGAACTCGTAGGACACACCGTGCCGGAGTGTGTCCAGGTGGACCGTGTAGGACGTGGCGCTCCGTGGAATGTCCTTCACAAACATGTCCCACAGCCCTTCGTCTACAAGAGAAGTGGGATGAGTCTCGGGTGAGCGGGTGTGAGCCCAGGTCCTGACATCACACTCACCGCACGTCTAGCTGCTCACGCCAGGTCTGAGAGCTGGTGCTGGGAGCGGCCACGTGGGGAGATGAGGTCCCCTCGGTGATGCAGACAGCTAAGTGCTCAACTACTCGTCTCACAGACAGAAACCCACCCAGAGGCACGGCGGAGGAAAGGCCTCGCACTCAGCTTCTGAAAGGTCACTACCCCGGAAACCTACGGGTCAGTTCACTGGGGGTGGGGTGGGGGGGACTGCCTCCCATCAGAGTCTTCATAGGGCAGTTCCACGTTGCAGGGACTCCCTCACGTCACAGTCCACACGGGGCACGTCCACTCTGGAAGGGGACTGCCTTGCGTCACAGTCCACATGGAAACAATCCCTCCTCACCAACAGAAAAGTAAAAGCAAGTCAAACCGACAAGCTCTTGTGTTCGTGGAGCCCTGGTTGGTGCACATGCTCAGCAGTTCCAATCCACCCACAGGCACCTCAGAAGAAAGGCCTGGCAAGACATGTCTGAACCACAGCCCTGAGACCCCTCTGGGCCAAGGTTCCATCTGCACACATGGGATCAGTATGAGTCTGAACACACATGGCATCTGCAGTAAACAACGAACAGCTCTGAGGACACAAGCCTAGGGTCAGCATTTTCTGGAATATTCTCTCACCACTATCCTGTGTCCATCCACTCCAGCCTGCATCTCTGGTTTCTGAGGGAGTGGCTTCTCATACTGGCCTCCTCTGCTCTGTGCTGTCCCCATAACTAGCCCTATGACCTGTCTCTGGGATCCTGTCCAGAGCCTGGTTTTACCGACAGCCCCAACCCAGTGGCTCTGCAGTGACCAGTTGTGTCCTGCTGGTGTCCCACACCTTACATCTGTCTGAGCACTTGTGATGGTCACTACCCTGTGTATGTGTGGCTGTGACCCTTAGCATAACTTCACTTTTCTGTGCATGGTAAATGCTCACCTCTCTGACGTTGGTGAGGCCAGCAGACGGCCACCCTGATCTGCCGTGGGGATGTCGCAGGACTGCAGTGATACATGCATGGACTTACTCAGTCTTCCTTCCTCTAGCCTCGATCCTGCATCTAGCTCATTCCCTCTGGACTTGAACTGGCAACCTGACATACTGTTTGACCTTGGACTCGTCAGCCTCCAAAGCCAGCAGTCTGTGGTCCTGCGTATTCACAGTGTGCTTGTCAACCTCCCCAGATGCCTCTCTCCTGAAGCCTAATCTCGTGATCTAGGGCTTGCTCACCTCTAATACCCAGGAGGCACTCCCATGAAGTCTAGAGACGATGGACAGACAGACAGATAGACAGATAAATGTTGTGTTGCTCTTGCTGATGTGACTCACAGTGACCCTGTGCATGAGGGATGTGAACTCTGACCTATCCTGTGCCAGCCTCACCATCTGATATGCTTGTTACAAACACCATGTTGATTCACCCCATTGAAGGTCTTCCCCTCTTCCTCTGACCCTCCACCTTTCCCAGCATGATGTCTTTTCCAAGGGTTGGCCCTTCCTGACCACGTGCTCAAAGCCCATGAAATGAGCAGAGGCATAACTGTCTATATTGAAACGAGCTTCTCCAGTTTTCCTTCTCTGGAGAACTCAGCCTAAGACAATCAACCTCCTAAATGGAGATGACAAGTCAGCTGATGAGTCAAGTGAAACCTGGTCAGTCCTTTCACCCCAGCTGCTGGGCTGGAGGGACACGGAGGCATCCATAGCCCAGCGTGGGACAGGAGTGGTGTGTCTGGACTCTACCCGGAACACCTGGCACCAGGCTGAGTTTTCATTTACAGGTGAACCTGCCCCAAGGGAACTGGCCCACGCCACGGTGCGGGGTGTGTGTGTGTGTGTGTGTGTGTGTGTGTGGTGACCTGATGCCCTCTGTCATGCCATGAATTATGCCCTGAGAAGGCCGTGTCAAACAGCTGGTCCCTGGCTCCCAGGGGCTTCGTAGCTATGTAAGGATATGATCTGGAAGTTGAGTAATAATGGAATCATTCCCAGGATGGCATCTGATGTGAATGGCCAATCAGGACGAGATGCAACATCCTCACTCAGGCCACAGCCCTGATCCCATTAAGAGCAGTTTCCCTGGTCTGTGGCTGAATCATTGTTAGTTTACAAAAGATAAACAGAGAAGTGAGCAGAGAGCAGAACCTCCAACCATCTAGAAAGAAGAGCCAGCAGCAGAGTGTGACCTGTGGGCCTGGGCTCCCTGTGAGGAGAACCTCCTAGACCCAGGAGAGGGCTGAAGCCAGGAGACGCCAAGATCCCTAAGGGATGCTGGACCCACAGGTGTTGAAAGGAGGCAAGGCCTTCTTCCAAGTCAGCAGAGAGAAAGCCTTCCCTCAGAGCCTGTGCCCTGAATTGAGACTTGTAGCTTTCTACACTATGGCAGAAAACGTTTGTTCAAGCCATCCATTTGTAGTCTTTCTCCTACAGCAGCCCGAGAGAGCTAAGAAGCCACCTGTCTTTAGTCCACTAAGGTGAGGTGACTGCCACGGTGCTGTGGTGCTGGCTGCCCTGCCAAACACTAGCAAGGTCACCCCTGGTGGACAGGGGTCAGCTGAGCTTTTACACTAAGGCTAACTAGGAAGCAGGTCTGCTCGCCCACCTCTGAAGTAACGGGTCTCCGAAGTCTATGGATTGGAGTGGACCACTGTCTGCTAATCGTGTCAGAAGATGAGCCATTCGTGCTGGAAGGCTCTAAAAAAATACCACAGGGCAAGACTGTCTTTTCCATCGTGGCTGGGAAAGTGGAGGGTCAGAGAAAACAGGAAGGCTTTCAGTGCGATGGCAGCATGGTGGCTGTAACAGTGGGCTTATGCACGGCCAAGGATGAGAGGACACGGCAGGCCAGGCGGGCTTCCTTCTGTTGTCCACAGGGGTGTCGTGTGTCAACCTCAGAACACACAGTTACCTTTGAGCGGCGGTGCTGGAGAGAGTGCTCAGAGGACAGACAGATATGGCTTGAAGAAGTGCAGCTGGAATGCTCCTTGGAGGCAAGGATGACAAAGCTTCATCTCACATATGTTGGGCATGTTGCAAGGAGAGGCTATCCCTTGCAGAGGGGCATCATACTTGGAAAGATGAGGGACAGTGAAGGAGAGGAAGACCCCCAATCAGATGACTGACGCAGAGGCTGGAGCTGTGGGCTCGAGTGTCAGAGATTCGGAGGACGGTACAGGACAGGGCAGGGTTGAGACCTTCTGTTCATGGGTCACTATGAGTTCTTCTCGACTGGATGGCACCTCACAACAACATCCAAGGACCAAGCGAGTCTGCAGGTGACATTTCTGTTAGCACAGCCCTGGGAAACAGGACCCCTTCTAAGCCTCCATGGACACAGTCACACGTGGACAGCCACCTCCTGAGCCAGACCTACACCACCAGCTCTCCTTGCAGCATCCTTGAGAGACGCTTCAAAATCAACCTGCCTGGGGACAGCGAGGTCTTTCATCTAAGTCTGTCAGATAAGAGACTCCATTTAAAGATCTAGTGCATTGATTAAACCCTGGTGTACATGAAAAATTAATAAGATCAAAATTAAAGCCAGGGAATCAAGATGAAGAGAAAGATGAAGTAGGTGAGGTAGGCTCTGGCCAAGGAAGTCTACGGGACAGGCTGGCCATCAGACAGGAGGGGAGCAATCCAGTGCCAGTAGCAAGCGTTTACTACCTCAGGGCCCAGCCAGGCGTCTGTCACAGAGCACCGATGCTTCGTGGTGTTGGTGACAAGTACTGGACAGCCTGTGGGCTGAAAAAAGGACAAACACACCTCTCTTGGAAGAAGCAAAAAGTGTGAGACTTCATGTCACATGCTTTGGATACAGTCAGGAGCAACGAGTGCCTGGAGAGTGACAGTATTCTCTGTACAGTGGAGGGTCATGGGGGGAGAGGAAGACCCTCAGTGAGATGGACGGAGACAGAGTGGCTACAAGGGTGGGCTCAGATGGGGCAATGGCTGTGAGGCTGGGCTCTGCTCTGTCATGCACGAGTCACTGTGAATTAGAATCCACTGGTGGCCTAATGGCAAGAAGCTGCGCTGCAATCCCCAAGGCATAAGGTTCAAGCCCGCCAACTGCTCCATGGAAGAAAGATGGGCCATCTCCTCTCATGCAATTAACTGCCTCTGAAAACCCACCAGAGGGTCAGCTATGGGTCATTCTGACCTGCTGGTACACAGCAGTAACAGCACACAACAATATTTAAAACCAGGGAGTAGAGTCTGGCCCTTAGACAAATTCTTTCTCACATGCTCCTCTCTGACACAGGGATCTGAAGGTACGCTGGCATTTGGGTGACCCCAGGAACCCTGGCAGGAGGATAGGGGGAGGGGAGAGAGCAGGAAGGTACATTCTAGGGCGAAACACACAGAGCTATCCCACGGGCAGAGGGACACAACACGTGTCCACCCATGAGTAGCTGGGCACTGAGGCTGCTGCTGGCCCAGGACTAGCTGTGTCCATCATGCCTGGCTGGGTACTTGGGTTAAGAAAGAGTGACCCCTGGTGCTGCAACTCTCAGAAACTTGGTGCTGGAATTCTCTGGAACATGGGCCAGGTCTGCACAAGGAAGAAACCCAGTCCTTGGTAGGACACGGGCAAGATGCCTGCGGGGAGGTGTAAGGGAGCAGGCGGTACAGAAACATTGTCAACGCCACACTCTCCCGCCGGACGTTCCTCAGGGAGAGCTGGCTCAGGCCCTGAGTATTTAATGACCGCTGTCCTCTAAGGGGGAGTCCTTGGAGTGAGCCTACGGCTCACATGCTCTGCGGCTTAACCTGAGACTGGAGGACTGAGTCCACTTGGAAGAAAGTCCTGTAACCTCCTCTAAACAATCAGACGCAGACAACGCTATGGCCTGGAGCGACTGCTCTTGGGTCACCTCTGAGGCCTCTTCAAAACCAAATAGCAGTTCAAGCTGTTCTGGCCGAGTGGCCAGCA